CTTCTGCTGTCCAACTTCTTAATGAGGGCGAGAGTTGTGTAAATTGGCCCTGCAAGAGAAAATGGCTCTAGACTATTTGCTAGCCTCTGAAGACGGATTTTCCAAATACATTGGGAAAGAGTGTTGTACTTAGTTATCAGACATAAGAACATTTAACAAAACTACAGGATCTGCAACAAGAGGCTAGACAAATAGAGAATGGATGGAATCATTTTAAAGGATTTGGGAGTTTTGGAGATTGGTTCAGTGGTATATTCAGTTGGTCCAAAAAACTTGGCATGCTGTTTTTATTGATTTTATTGCTTATACTTGTTCTTTACCTTGCAGTCAAGCTTCTGATACCTGGTGTCCAGAATGCATACTACTAGGGTATGGTCCCCCTACAACCGTTCACTGAAAAGTGATGATCCAGAGACTTATATCTAAGACTTGCTTTATTCACTCCAAACCGAGGGAATGGACCTCATGAAGGAGAAGACTGGTGGTCCCCGGCCAGTTGGGAGACGCTCTGAATCTCCCTACCCGGAAATACCTTCGCACAATCTAAGAGACTTTGTTAGGAATGATGATATCATCAAAAAAGGGAGGAGGAGTTGACAAAGAGATTATGGACCCCCAGAGCATGCAGTTAGAGCACCACTTTAACTTATATAAACTTTTAGCAATTTTCAGTTAAACTTGTGCATTTTCTCTCTTTGTAGCCTTGATTTGGGAACTTGTGGTTTTGTTTAGGCTACATCTTGCCAATATTAATTATATTGTGCCAAGGACGCATAACTTTAGTTTTAAAACAATTTTCACATGATGTTGATTTTACAATATATGTCGAATACATATTTTAATGAGTAGTTAACACCTAGAAATGCCTAGAATACATTATTAATGATGATGTCAATAAATATCAGTTGTTTATCCAAATAAAATAGAAACTGCTATACAGATGCTCTTGTGTCCACGTCAGTTTCTCTAGCATTATGCTATATGGGTGTACCTTAACCGTTTTCTTCTAGGATAAGCGTGGTATCAAATCTAATTCTGTCTACGACAAACAGACTTATTTGCCCACCACTTCCTATAGAGAAGAAACTTTGTTGCCGGCAATCTAACTTGTACTTTTACTACAGCTAGACCACCAATTACATACAGACTTATAAAATCAACTGTGTTGCACTGTGCCTTATAACACTATTTTGTGGAATACAAAGATAAATGCATAAACAATAAAAATCATGTGCTCTCACCAAAATGTGATGTATAAAGTGGAAACAGTGCAGACACCTATATTGCCCCATGCCCAAAACAACTGTGCAACAATCGGTGCAAAACAACAAAAACACATTTATTTATTTATTTTCTTTTTGTGCTTTTGTGCCACAACAAATCTCAAATCAATCCAATCCTTTAATCACAGCAGTAGAAAGTGCAAATGAGTGCATTATACATCATTCCAAGTGCAAAAACCACATATATCTGATAATCAGTTATATATATAAAAAAAAGTACAATAGCTCAACCCCAATCAATCTGAAAAAGTGTCAGCATGGGAAGAACCCTGGGACCCGATGAAGGCACTCTCTTTGGACAAGGGAGACAGCAATCAGTGCAGTGTAGTGTCCCACTAACAATGTGAACCTACATCAGAGAGGTTTGAGTTTGGGGAGACTTTTGAAAGGAGGTGGAAAAGGAGACCACCAGTAGATCTAAGTATAGATCCTGCTATTAGTGGAGAGGAGCTGTATGGTGAGGACTGAACGGAGTGAAAGAGGAGAGAAGAGTTCAATGCTTATTGAATGGGATACGTTTAGAAAGAAAAAAAATAACATCCTCTTACTAAGGCATATTATTAAGGGCTATCTGGTGAGTACAATAGAGAGCAATTAAGGAGCACAGTCACACATTGTGGAATAACAGTGCACTATTCCAGTAAAGAAAAAGCATGGTGTCACTTTCAGGATTGACGTTTCTACCCATTTATTTATCCATTCAAGATGTTGGACTTTTTTTTGAATATAACTGATTACCAGATCTATGTTGGTTTTGCACTTGGAATGATGTATAATGTACTTACTACTACTGTGATTATATGATTGGATTGATTTGAGATTTGTTGTTGCACAAAAGGAATTTATTTATATATTTTTTTGCACTGATTATCACACAGTTGTTTTGGGCATAGTGCAATATAGGTGTCTGTACCGTTTTACACCTTGCACCAAACTGCACTTTATACATATTATGGTGAGAGCACATGGTTTTCTTTATTGTTTATGCATTGATCTTTGTATTGCACACAATAGTGTTATAAGACACAGCGCAATAGTGATTTTATAATATTGGAGTAAGTGCGCACACTTTTTGGGTAGCTGCAGCTTGCAGCTGTAGATTTTTTTGAGTTAGATTCTAGCCCGTTTTTTTTTCTGTTTATATATACATACAGACTTGTCCAGCAGGACCAAGTAAGTCATATTTCTCTTCTCTGGTGGCTGGGTGTACCTCAGGGAATAGTCACACTTATATAGCTCTATCCATTTCCTTGCAGGTATTCCAAAAAAATATACCAGTTTAAGCCATCGTTAAATCAGGGGACTTCATGGATATAAATTTTGCCAAGCTGCACGGCATTCCTTTGCAGCCAAAAATCATAGACTGACTGTGCATCTAGCAGATTGAACAGGTCTCAAGTTGTGGGCTATAACTCTTGAAACTAGCCTGCTCCCTGTATCCTCTGACAACAGTTCTTTCAGCTGGATATAATTCCAACTCTGTTTCCTGTTATCCTCAGTATCCCCCGGCTTCAAGCATACAACAACTAAATCAGACTGAAGCACAGGAAAGAGGAAAATCTCTCTCTAGTGTCAGAATTACTGCCACCAGCGCTCTGCCATTGGAACATTCCTGCTTCTATGCCTTCAATCTGAATCCAATCACAGTTTGTTCAACTTATCAGAACTTTTTGGCGGTTGTGGAGCCTACACCAGGATTGCATTATCTCTCTTCTCACTCTTAAAATGCTATGCTTATCTGTGACCAGTGGCTACCAACTGCACAAAGAATACAGGACAAACTTCTAACCTCAAATTTAAAAGCCCATCCAAGTTTGGCTCCTTAATACGCTTCCTACTAATGTCTAGATACCATCACTACTTATGTAACCTATGTTACGATCATGTACATCTAACTTCCACTCCTGCCATTACTTAACAGTTTTACATCCAACACTAATATAATGTCCAGTCTGGCAGTTTCCAATTCCAAATGTTTTAATGCACTGGTAAAAACAGACACTCAGGCAATCAAAAGCTGAGCTTCCATTGCTGACACAGCACAAGTTCTCCCTCCACAATCTGATCAGCTCACCTATTTCCAATGTTTTCTACCCTTTTTTAAAATGTTTATGGGCATGATTATCTGTATTACCATCCTAATTTATATAGGAATAATAATATTATGCAGTACAGGAAACAAACCAAGCTAAATGCCTGCTAAAATACAATTCGCCACATAGTTTAGGTTTACAACTTATCAGCAGCATCAGAACCTTAATGTATGTGTGTGCCTTGTATATGTGGTTGTTTGGGGCAACACCACTCAGAATTGTTAAATGTAACAATAGTGAGTTATATAGGATTAATTTGTTTCCACATTATATTATTTCTAGAATTCTTGGATTAGTTTGTACTTTAGATTTAATAAAAAAATATATTTTTGATAATACTGTGGAAACCAGTTTATTCTTTAATAATATTTGTTTTCAATAAGTCAGAGCATGTAATAACAATACTAATAATGCAAGTCTATACTTGCACCGAGAGGGAGAAAAAAAATGTACAACTATTTTGAAATTATATTTATCAGGAAGCACAGCCTATATTACCTTTAAATCTAACGAGCAAATATGGCTGTTTCTGTATATTTATAGGATATAACCTAAATAAAGCAGATCACATTCTCATGTACAAAAAAAAACAAAAAACCTGTGGATTTGCTTCAATACTCTGTGCTTGTTTTTAAGTAAGTTCCTAAATCACATAGTCAAACACTCCACATGATGAACAGCATTTACAGTAAATGGTGAAGCACCTGTTCTTATGCCTACAATTCTTTACCTGGGCGTAGGCAAATAATTGGGGTATTCTAAACCTTAAGCTTGTATACTGGACATTTGATGACTATGATCTTTATAACAGGGGAAGATGCTTTAGCTGTAATGCTGGGTATACAGATAGCAATTTTAAAGTGGACCTTTACCCATATCTTTGAAATAACAACAAACACACTTTTAGAAATGTTTAGTAATGACAATCTACAAACACATACTTCTAGATAATTGCAGGCTTTGTATTCTTTGCATACCTTATTTCTCTTTTCTTTCTTAGTCTTCTGGCAGTGGCCATGTTAACTAAGGGCAGATTAATATATCTCCCTTTACTTCCTGGAACTCTGGTACATGTGACCATGCACATCACCTCAGGGGAGGAAAATGCCTTTCCCTAAGATCTTGTGAGATTAGATTAGATTTTCCAGCAATGCTTTGCTGATGTAACCTTCCCAAGATGCAATGCTTTAGCACTTACATCATTTGTGCTGAAACTGGAAGTAGAAGAGCTCTATTTGTAAGTAAATAAAAACAAGTTTAACTAATGAATGTAAGATGATTTTAAATCAGCATGCAAAGCTGCATGCTGATGTGATGTTTTAGTAAATAGGGTAAAGGCCCCCTTTAAGGCAATCTTCCCAACACTTTAATACATTTTATTACTACAATCAAAAGTGTTTGAAATAACTAAAGCAAACTACCATTAACTATAAAATGCAACCAAATAGTAATTCATGAAAAATGAATTAGTTTTTTTCAGCTTGATTGCTTAGTGATTGACTGAAATTAGAGGATTATCCAACTGAACCCTTTTTTTATACTGGTAGAAAATCAAACAATGAAGATTGAATGATTAGATTAGCATGTATTTGACCAGGATAAAACTCCTATTTTATTTCCATACCTGTATTTTTAGGAGCATCCATGTAAACTGGTGCAGGGGGTTGGCCACCTTGCCAGCCATACTGTGGGTACCCTTGATAGCCGGGCTGCCCTGGTTGATAGCCTGGTTGCCCTGGTTGATAGCCTGGTTGCCCTGGCTGATAGCCTGGTTGCCCTGGCTGATAGCCTTCAGGGCCTGGAGGGTAACCAGGATACGGAGTAGGACCTGGGCCACCTTGTCCATATGGAGGGTAAGGAGCTGTAGGATTTACTCCTGAATATGGTGGAGGATTTTCATAATTCATGATGGTCACCTAAAACAAAGAACATAAATAATATAAAATCGCATGCATATTACAATTGCTACACAGAAAGCCCATGCATACGATCTGAAATAGAATTACTAAGAGTGCATTTTATTTTATATGTTGCCATCCACATAAACTGTACTATTATGGAACCCAGCACATCAAAACAATAATGCAATAACTCTGTTGCAACAATGAACAAAGCCAAAATTATTTTAAAACATTTTTTTTTTTGGAATTCCAAAAATACAAAATCTTCTTACTTTGTTTTTAGCATAACTGTCTTCACCTCATATAGAAGAGCTAATCTTTTACATGAATACAAATAAGAAACATACTCCTGATTTACGTTCACAAACCATATATTTTCACAATGGAAAAACACCAATAAACTTAAAATTATATTATACTCCATTATTTACATCCCATAATTATCCTGAAAATGTATAAGAGGTAGGTTTCAATAAAAAAAAATTACACCAAGATTGTTCTATCAACAATATAAAGATTTAACCGTTGCATTAACCCTTGGATAAAACTGTAAATCTGTAATTTAAACAAACTTAACTATATAGGGCTCATTCACACCAGCACACATGTTGTTATGCACATAATGTGTACGTTGTAAATGCATGCTGGTGTGAGTTGTAAATGTGAACTGCGATGTGTTGCTAAAGCGAAGTGCTTGCTTTACTTTCCCCAGCTGTATGCAATTCATACCTGCTGCAGCACACTGCTATGTATTATACTGCATCGGAATGTGCAGCCAAAAATGCAACAAGTCCTAAAGAATTTTTAGCACACACCAATAACCTTGTTTCTTGTTTGGGGCTGTGTTGGGCAAACACTGCCCAACGCAGCCCAACACAGCTGGACAATTTGTCAAGCCGGGTGGTGATTACAGGGCCACACACTTTGGCTGATTATGTAGAAATTGGAAAAAATTAAATCAGTGTATCGCTAGCTTTTGACCACTTTATCCAAGAAGGCAACAGAGGAATTTCTTCTGAGGAATTTGCACTCATGCTGGTCTTGTTTAAGGAGTCACTGAATTTCAGTCACCTCATTACAAATCTTCTAGAGTTGCCCCAAAATTAAGATTTTAAAACAGAAATGAAAAAATGTCAGGCCGAAATCGGAAAAAAAAAATTCTAACTTTTTCAAATTTTTAAAAATATTTTATATTTATATTAAATATTTTTATTTACTTTTTACTTTTACATGGAAAATCAGGATGGGAGAAAAATCTACAAATCCGTTGACTTCCTAAGATCATCGGAGACCATAATCACTGACCCTCGGTACAAGTTATTCTGAACTCAGTCTTAAAATGACCAGTTGATTAACCTGTTCAAATAGACAGGGTCCACTGGGCCCTTTGGAGGTCCTAAGAGATGTGACATGTAGATTTGGCTACTACGATGAGAAAAAAACAAACAAAACAAGAACATCCTTCCAAGAGGTCAGAGCAGTCATTCACATACACATTAAGAGAGCCATTATATAGATATATAACAATCTACTATACCAATCAGACCCTACTAAGAAGATCAGCCTTGAAACCCAGTAGACATTCTGAAAAAACAAAAAATTCCCTGTGCGCTCATTGCTTACAAAAATATGCGGCCAACCTAACGACATGTAGACTTTCTGCAAAAGGACTAGACATCTCTACAGTGCTACCAAGCAAGCAGGATCCTTTAGACATTCTTCAAAAATGTTTAAAACCAACCCTTGGCAAGCAGTCCCACCAAACAAGACAGCAAGGAAATAATAGCTCAGGAGTGGATTTAAGATACCCAAACCTGGCATGAAAAATTAATTATGTTAACATTGGGTGGTGGTGATTATCCTCCACCACAGCTAGTGAACTGATCCCATTAACCCCTAAAACCCTGGTTTTTACATTAGCTCCTCCAGCAGTGAATCAGGTAGACTGTGAGAATTACTCAGAATATACAGTATATTACATATGCTACAATCAATTTAAAAAAGGAGGTGCTCAGAGCTGTTAACATGAAGCCACACAGCACATCCAGCCAAGTCTTTACCCTGTATCACCCTTTAGCCCTGGGGTAAGATCTTACATGCACATTAGCTATATCAGACTATATTACTCAGTTGGGACCAGATAAAGTTGGTACTAGCTCTCCCCATTGAATCAGGTCCCCCAACCCCCCATTACTTCAGCAACTCCAATTTAAAACCACCGAAAGCATAATTTTAATAGGCATGTTCTCTCTACTTTAACATCGAGATCAAGATTAACATGGCAGGTATCAATTGCTTAAAGCAGGTCTCAAACTCAATTTAGTTGGGGGCCACTGGACACATTTTTTAGTCCCGTGGTGGCCGCTACTATATACGGTACCAGTTTTAATGTATGCACATGTTAAAAACGGCAACTGTCACCCATTCAAGTTAATGATCAGGTAACAGCTGCTGCATGTAAATGCCTGCACACCGCATGTAATCATATGTGAAAGGATAATACATTTCCCAAAGAAAAAAATGTCACTTACATTGGTGTCCGAGAACTGGGAGGAAAGGCGGCCTCGGATGGGGCTTGAGGGGTTCGAGAAGAGAGCCTTCACTGGGTGGGTGCCCAGCAGGGGAAAGCCCGTCCAAGCGAGCGGGTAGCTGGAACCGGAGGGAGAAAGGAAGCCGGAGGTCCGTTCGTGTTCCTGCTGTGTCTGCGGGGGGTAGGTTGAATGGGACTCGGCGGCTTGCAGTCGGCTTCAGCGGACGTTACTGCGGCTGTAGGAAACACCGCTCGGTGAAAGTTAGAGTCCTATGCTTGTCAGTGTAAGGAGTAGGGCGGCATGTGGGTCGCCAACCAGCGGCAGTAAATGGACGTTGTCCCGATGACAGGCAAGTCAGCGGCGACAAAGTTGCTGGTGAGGTTAAAAAATGACGCGGAGCAGCGCGTTATGGAGTGATATTTCCATGGCGGGAAACAGCCGCATTGAATACGGATCCCCATGGATCACGGGGGGACGTGCATGACAATAGACAATGCCCATGACCCCATGATGATTGAAGAACCGTTTGACTAGTGGGGGGTAATAATCTTAAAATGTTTATAAAAGAATGTGTAAAATTGGAAGGTTTAGATAATGGTTAGGATCTCTATTTCCTCATTTAGTCCTCCTGGAGCAAGGGTATTAAGCTGATAGATCCAAAAGGTTTCTTGTCTGCATAACCTCTGGAAACGTTCAGGTGGGGAATAATGCTCCGGGATATGTCCTATGGCAAAGACATGTAGGTCTTGAATTCGTTTGCCATGTTTCAGAGCAAAGTGTCTGTGGACACTGTGGTCAAGATCACCATCCGCGATCAGTCGTCTGTGTTCCCCAATCCTTCTTAGGGGATGGATGGTGCGGCCGAAGTCTACCAAATTACACGGACATTTTAGGCTATAGACTACATTGTCATGCGAACAAGTAAACTGTCTAATGAGATGGATGTTGTTCAAATGGTCCGTGAATTCAAATTGTCCATGAGAAATAAACTGGCAGGTGAGGCAGCTGGGTTTTTTGCATTGATAGGTGCCCACTCTTATCAAAACAAAGGTGTGGTGTGTCTCTATTCTATCTTGCTTGAATTTTATTTGGTGATAATTCGTTTTTAAAAGGTTTCTGGCCTTCCTAAACGTGACTGAGGGTTTAGCTGGAATAAATGGGCCCAATTTTGGGTCCTGTTTTAGGATGTGCCAATTCTTACGAATAACGCGCTGTAGGTTGTTATGACTATTGTTGAAGGTAGTTATGAACCTTAATTCAGCCTCGGGTTCAGGACGTGTATCAGTAACTGGAGGAAGTGAGTGTAAGTAAGTGGAGTAGGCATTATGAACAAGTTGGCCTGGGTAAGCTTTTTCTTTAAATTTGTTGGTGAGAAGTAGACTCTGTGTGGTGAAGTCAGTGACCTTGGAACAATTGCGTTTTAATCTACAGAACTGGCTCTTGGGAATGTTTTTTAACCATCTTGGATGGTGACAGCTATGAAAGTGTAAGAGTTTCCACTGGTGGGTTTTACGTGATTACTGGTGGTGATGGTGTTACCGTCAGAGGAAAGTTCTTAATCTAGGAAAACTAGTTTTTCTGGGTTGAACACATGTGTGAATGACAGACCCAGTGTGTTGCTATTGCAATGAGAGACAAATAGTGGTATGGATTCCAGGGGGGCCATCCCACATGATGACAATGTCATCAATATATCGTCCATAAAAAATGATGTTAGGAGCGTAAGGGATGTTGTTCCATATGGAATGGTCTTCCCAGAAACCCATAGTGAGGTTGGTGTAACTTGGGGCATAATTGGCCCCCATGGCTGTACCTTTGATTTGTAAATGGAAGTAATCCAAGAAGGCAAAGTAATTATGTTCTAATGTAAATTTTGTGCAATCCACAATAAATTGTGCTAGTTTATAATGCATAGTGGAGTGGGACGATAGGAAATATTGCAGTGCATTAAGGCCTACATCATGTGGGATAGAGGTGTATAATGAAGAGACATCTAATGACAGCCAGGAGTAGGAGGGATTCCATTTGTACTTTGATAGGATCTGTATTAAATGACTTTTATAGTCCTTGATATATGAGGGCAAATTTGTGACCTGCAAAAAATGGTCTATGTAAACAGATAGGCCGCTTGTGAGGCTATTGGTACTTTCTCCATCCGGTTCAACCTTGGACGGGCTTTCCCCTGCTGGGCACCCACCCAGTGAAGGCTCTCTTCTCGAACCCCATCAGAGGTCGCCTTTCCTCCAGTCCTCGGACACCAATGTAAGTGATATTTTTTATTTGCGAGTACAAACATACACTCAGGTTATTGCGTCCTTTCATGTTTTTTAGTTGTATCAATCACAGGTGCCTCCTCGGGGTCTCTAGGGCTGCATACCACACCACATCTTAATTCTACCCAAGAGCACTGTACACTGTTTTTGTCATAATAAATTTCCCCCCTCCCAAGCCCCCAGAACACATAATAAACTTCCCCCCTCCCTC